CTCCTGCTGCTGCTGCTGGTACTGCTGCTGCTGCTGCTGCTGCTGCTGGTACTACAACAACAACTGCTAGTGCTTGTACTGGTACCAGCACTAGTACTTGTATTACTACTGCTTGTGCTAGCTGGTGTGTTCGCCATGTTAGTAGTGCTGCTGCTGCTCTTCTGGATGCTCCTCTCGAGCGTTTCCAAACTTGACGCTTCAAGCCAACCGCTCTTGTACCCAAACGGCCCAATCATGCATAAACAACATGGAGATTGCCGACCGACGCACGCCGAGTCTGCCACTTCCCCGCAGGCCTTCAAGTTCAACAGCTTGACTATGGAGCCACCAAGCTCAGTCAGAGTTTGCAGATTTGGTTCTTGGGCCTTGCAGGTGGCGAGTATGGGATCCGTCATCAGGGTTCTTGACGTTGAGGGCTCGCAGGCTTTAAGGCTCCCAGGCTCAATGTCTTTTCTGATGCCGCCGTCGTCGTTGTTCATGGTGTCACAGTGGCCTGACGGGTAGAGATGGGAAAGGCCGTATCGAAACCGCAAGCCTGGCAATTCCTGACTTGGAACTTCGACTCTCGAGGTCGGACAAGTACATTAGCATCAAGGACACCGCTGCGGACGGCACGGCGCAGGCGCTGCACAAAATCTGTGCCGGTGAGCAGTGCCGCAGTGCTTCTGTGTTAGGGATTGTTTCGGGCACTGATGGCTGATAGTGCGCGTAAAATTCAGGAATACAGAGCGATAGCAGGTTTTCCGGAAGCCCCTGACCTGCGTATCGCTTTGCTCGTGTCCAGGTGTAGGGCTCAGAAGTGATATCATCATGAAATCAGTCCTGCAAAACTCAGGTGCTGGATAAGAAGTTAAGGGTTCCTTGACAGCGGCAGATGGCCTTTTGCCTAAACTTGCCGTGTGGCACTCACGACTAGATCCATCGGTAGCATATATCAATATGGTACCCCATTTGGTCATCCGCCCTCCCCCACCCTCCTGTGGAAAGGCTTGGGCCTTGAGCTTGGAGCAAAGTCCCCTCCCCCTCCCTGTGAAACAGGATCCCCCTTAAGGCTCCACACCCTGACGTTTGGGAGGGATCCCAGACCACACAGTGCACAATCATAATATATATATATACACACACACATACACATACATACATATATATATATGTGTATATATATATACATACATACATCTTTGTTTGTCTGTTTGTTTGTTTGTATGTTTGTCTGTTTGTCTGTTTGTCTGTCTGTTTGTATGTATGTATGTATGTATGTATGTATGTATGTATGTTTGTATGCAAGTATGTATGTGCAAACCCCTCAATCCCACACCTTCGGCCATACCAGCTGATCGGCTTTCGGCAGGTGGTCGTCGTGGACATGCACAACAACAATGCCGTGAGCAAGCGCCCGATGAAGGCTGAGGCCTGCCGGATCGCGGTTTCAAGTCCAGGGATCAGAATGTTCAGAATGCGTTGAGATGCGAAATCCTGCAGCAGACCACAGTCCCAGGCTCTTGAGCACTAAGCCGGTAAGGTCAAACCTGCAGTATTGCGTGACGTCGTAGAGACACTTCTTCGTCGCAACGCCCTTAGCCACAAATTGAGAGCTTCATGCCCTAAGCGCTAAGCCGCTAAGCCGTAGGCTCAGACCCACTCCTTGACCCGAACACTGCATCCTCATATCGAGCTTATCTGTGAAGTCCAGCAGTCAGAACAAGGTTTCGTTCCGCAGGTAGCAGTGGGAAGGTCTTTGCGGTTGGGCTTCGGGGTAGGACGGGGTCTTGTGGCAGCTCTTGGAGTCTGTGATTTGGGCTTCAGGGCGGAGGACTCCGGGCTGCGTGTTGGGTCATCTCGCACTACTCTCTGTCCGAGACCTTCGCCGGAATGCATGGTGCTGTTGAAGGGATGTAAAATTGAAAGGGAGGTTGCTACTATGGGTTGGGCCCAGAGGCCTGCAAAGGCATCAAGATCCAAGACGGCTCCTGTTTCCAAGCCGTCCTGCCGTCCTACATGGCCAGGCCACCTTGATGAACCCGGCTGACAACATTATCGCCTTGAAGGTCGGCGGATTCTTGGGCTCTCCATGCCTTCAGTGAAGGGTTCACTCCGCTTTTGTAATCTTTGCAGCTGCTGCTGCTGCAAGACAGCAGTACTCCCGCAAGCCCTGTGAAACGAAAGCAATTGAAGGCGACCGATGTGGGAAATGCAATGCATGGTTTGGCTGTTAGTTGCTACGAGGCTGGAATTTGGACCCAACTACTTGGTGAACTACTTGGGTGGTTGTTGTTCTGGGGGGGGGGCCGGTCACAACAACGACGGGGACTCCAGACCTGGTTTACGAGCAGGTGGGAGAGGGCTAGAACAAAACGAGGGCTTCAGAATTGTCTCTACAAAAGAGCAAACAAGAACTGCAGTCCGTCAACGCACACAGATACCTGCCGCTCGTCTGTGCCAAAGGTAAGTAGAGACAAAAACTTCAGATTCGTCCACGTGTTTCTCCCACCGGTGAACCAGCAGCAGAATGAAAGGATTGCCCGCCTGCTTGCAATGTGTCTGAAACTGTTTTGTGGATTATATGCACGTGGTTGTCATGGACGCACAGTTGAATCACGTCGGCATCTTGCCACATACCAGGCTGCGACGGAAGGCCAGGCAGGACATTTTGTGCAGATCTTCAACCTCGACTCCAAGGAGAAGTTACTTGTCTCAAAAACATCTGTCCGATTTAGGTTTGAAGCTTTGCGATGCGACTCGCCCAGAGTCGCCTCTCATCAAAGCTCCGGCCGCCCAGGCTCGGAGTCTACCAGTGCCCCGAGCAGATCGTCACTCGGCCGAGTGCTGCAAGTATTCAACTTCTGGGCTTTGTTTGGACTCTCGGTTTGGATTTCGTCTCGGGATGTCTCGGGCAGGGAAACCCCGAAAAAGGAAGACTAGGACGAAACGGATTTTCGATGTTTGCCTCTCAGGTGTTTTGGCGTTGGCTGGCACCCAGGCTCCTGGCCCTCATCTGCGCCCAGGCATAGGGAGGGGATGATGCCTGGTGGTTTGGGCATGCGGTTCCCGTTTTGGAGACTGCGGCTTGAGAAGGCAGAAGTTTCCAGCGTCGTGCTGGATTTAGAAATTTAGGGATTCCTACGAGTGTTTGGGCTTATTCTGTTTTCAATCGCGTCTGGAACTTTGCCTTTGCCTTGTGGAGTGGACTTTCGGGAACTGGTCTTTCTAGGCTCTTGTTTATCAGTGCAATTTCGCAGCTGCGCCTGCCCTAGACAAGTGCAAGCTAAATGAAGGTCCAGGCTTATGCAGTCGCATTCGGGCAGTTTTTGCAGCCTGAGGTGTCGACTTTGAGAAATTCAGATACACTTGTCGTAGGCCCCGGGCTCCCCGTCTTGCGCGGCAAGGCGGGGTTGTAATTGGTTACCAATTGTGCTCCCTCCGGTTCTGACCTTTCGCTTTGAACACCGGGCCGTCTAGAAGATCTGGTCTCAGTCGCGCGGGGGATCAGGACGTCTATCACTGGAACCTCTCCGTGGCAAACAGCCAGCCGGAGAAGATTTTCCAGCGGGCTGGGAAGCTTGCTGAAGCAGGTCCTCCCTTGCTCGATCGATTGAAGGAATCTTCTTACTAGTCATGGCGGCCTTTCGGGGGGCTTCGGGCTTCAGCTCATTTGTCTCATGTCTCGTACTACAACCTGATGCGGATGGTTATGGTTGTTTGTGTCGGGTTTGTCAAAAGCAGATATGTTCATACTGCAGCCAGGCTGGCCAGGTCGAGGCTATCGAGGTGGTGTTGTTGTTGTTGTTGTTGCATCTTAGCTTGCCCGAGCGGGTGCGTGGTGAATTCACAGCTATCGAGGTGAGGGTTTCGGGTCGCAGCATAGTTGGGTCGGTACAGCCCTTCACAGTGAGGGTTGAAGTTTGAGGCTGAAGCACTTCGGCAGGCTTCGGACTTCAGGGTCGGGGTTCAAGGTCTCACGTTGTTGGGCTGAGATGCTTCAGGCAAGCAGATTCGGAACTGGCCTTGGGCTCTAGTTAGTACTGTGGCTGCGAGGCGATTGACCTGAATTGAGTGCGCCTTTCGTATTGCAATGAAAACGCATCCGTCATTGTCGCTGACCAAGACAGCACCACTCGCATCATCGTAAGCCGTAACCTTTGAGTTCTGTTCCGTTCTCTGAACCGTACTCTGAACCCCGACCTGAAGGCCTGGTCGCGTCCGCAGCCCTTACACCAGTTTGCAGTTTGTCTATTGAAGCGACTGCGACGAGCCACCGGGCCCAATGACCGATACCAACGCTTCAACAGGTGTTAGACAAGTTGGCAGGAATAAGAAAAGAAGTTGCAGGAGCAGGCGATACAACCAATTTCAGATGTTGTCAATCTTGTCTTCGCGAAGAAAGCTCTCTTCCCAACCAGGCTTAGGATCTGAAGCAAAACCCTAAGCTGGGGTTTCCAGTGTTGGACGAAGCCTCTGTGCCAGGAACACAGATCATCAACTATTCTGCGAACAGCCAGGTGATCCGAGCTGTGGGGTGTGGGTGTGGCTTTCACCTTGATGGTAGCGAGCGACCGACACAACACCACTTCCAGTTGGCCCTTTCTCTGACCAATGTTCTAGCAGGCAGAACCTCGAAGTGGCGATAGCAAGTCTAGAGACTTGTCCGAGGTGTCGTGGTGCTTGCTGACAGGCATCTCCTCACAGGCGGAAGGGAGTTATGAACGGTGTCAGCAGCAGCAACCTAGAAATGCCATAGCAAGAAAGTTCGCAACAGCACAGGAACACCGGCATGGCAGAAGTAGATTCAGATAGTCCATGTCGTCATAGCACCGAGGCAGGGACCCAGGTCAGCCCTGGTAGGCCTGATCGATTTTTTTTTGAGATTAGAGGCGACAACAGTCTCAATGGAGCACAACCATGTGAAGACTCATCTGAGAGATACTTCAGCACATTTACCAGGGGACGGCTGGTACCCGCAGTGACATTTTCTATTTGGTTTGCCGTCGTCAAGCGGTCGCACTAGTACGAGTGGCAGTGCTGTCATGAAAGGAGCTACTGTACAGCTAGGCTAATGACAGAACAACGATATTGCACACTGAATGAGGTGAAATTAGTGGCTATATTCGCGACAATTAAGACAAAACCAAGGTCGGAAATGTGCCGCACAGTGACTAGCAATGGTGGTGGAGATGCTTGTGATAACCCGTATTACCGCCATCCTTCCACAGGTAATCTTGCTAGAATGGTGATGCTGACATTGTTCTATATTCGTTGCCAGTACTTGGCTTAGAGTTCTGGCCAGCCCAAAGCAGGTTTGCTTGCCTGCACAGGTCGCAAACGCATGAAATCAAAACGCCAGACGCCTCCACCTGGATCCGTGCCTTTCCTCAGGCCTGCCACTCAAGCCTCGCCTCAGGATTCTGGGAGGACGATCGACGGTAACATGCAGTTGTACAGCCCGGGGCCGATGGAGCGTGGAGGGGTCAGGATTTCGTGCCAAGGAAAGAGAGAGAGAGAGAGAGAGAGAGAAGCCCACAGCCCTGGCGAAAGAAAAGGGAGACAGAGAGAGAGAGACAGATATATATATATATATCAATATCAGATCCATAGATAGAGATAGAAAGAGAGAGAGAGAGAGAGAGACAGAGAGCGAGAGCGACGTGCGGATTCAGCCTTTGTCTTTCTACAGGTTTATGGGTAGTGCTCGGGAGTTGAGATGCTACTCCGCGTCTACTGTCTAACCGGATGTACAATTGTTGAAGGGTTCTCTGTACGTTTGACGGTCTTCTCTCAGTATGAACTACGAATATGTTTTCTTCAGGTTCGTGAGAGAGAACAACAGCTCCGAAATTGAGCACGGCAGCCTGTCTGCTTTGCACGGGTGGTTGATATCGGCATGAAAATTTACGCTCATTCTCGCATAGACAACTTGGGTACATTGTGTCGTAGGTTCGTGTGTGTGTGTATATATATATATACATTCAATCAATCAACATATATATGTATATACATATTTGGAGATAGGTCTAGTAAGTCTAGGATTGTTATAGGAGTATATGTATGTACGTACACACACACATATACGTATATACGTTTTTGTACATGTGAATGTGTATGTGTATATGTATATGTACATGTACATGTATATCTATGTGTGTATGTATGTATGTATGTCTGTACGTATGTATATGTATATGTATATGTATCTGTATCTGTATCTGTATCTGTATGTGTATGTGTATGTGTATGTGTATGTGTATGTGTATGTGTATGTGTACGTGTATGTGTATGTGTATGTGTATGC